TTCTGGGGATCAAGTCAGTGTCAGCCAACACGTGGTCGCAGAGCATGTCCCAGGATTGTCATGGTGGCATTATCAGGAATGTCTGGCAATAGGAGACTGGTTACGTAAATTGCAATACGCTCATATAATGGAATATAGTGTGGCTGTAAATAACAAGTTCAATTTGGATGAGATGTAATGGAATGATCTTCAAAATATACTGAGAGAGAAATTCAGGGTGCTGAAGAGTGTAGCACATCACCACTTGTACCCAAAAGGGAACTACAGACAAAACTCTCTATGTCTCTACATGCATAGAAGGGTTATGAGATAAACCCCAAGGGCCATTACAGTGTGTGCTCCTGGGCTGGAGGAGGAGGAGAGCCAGGGCCAGCAACGAAGTAGACTTGGTGTGCATTGCAGAACCCTTTGCATTGTTCAGTGTTTTGTTTTTATTTTTGAGACAGGGTCTTGCTTGCTCACCCAGGCTGCAGTGCAGTGGTTTGATCATGGCTCACTGCAACCTCCGCCTCCTGGCCTCAAGAGATCCTCCCACCTCAGCTTCCTGAGTAGCTGGGACTACAGGTGTGTGCTACCATACCCAGCTAATTTTTTTATTTTAGTAGAGACAGGGTTTCTCCATGTTGCCTAGTCTCGAACTCCTGAGCTCAAACAATCCACCCACCTTTGCCTCTCAAAGTGCTGGGTTTACAGGCCGGAGCCACCACACCTGGAAGATGCTTTATTTTGATTTGCTGGGTCGAATGGTATTCCTTAAAAGCATATGCCCAAGTCCTAACCCCTGGTATCTGTGAACGTGATCTTATTTGGAAATCAGGTCTTTGAGGATTATCGTTAAGGTGTAAATTAAGATGAGGTCACACTGCAGTAAGGTGGCCCTTAATGCAACATGACGATGTCCTAAGGAGAGAAGGAAAGACACAGACACACACACACACACACACACACAGAGAGAGAGAGAAAGAGAGAGAGAGAGAACGCCGTGTGATGACAGAGGCTGAGAGGAGGGATGCGTACTCAAGCCAAGGAAGCCAAGGGCGGCTGCAGCATCAGACACTGGAGACACTCGATTTCAGGCTTCTAGCTTCCGGAATTGTCAGAGAATAAATTTGTGTTGTTTTAAGCTACTCAGTTTAATTTGTTATGGCAGCTATGTGAAACTAACATGTATATACGCTAGTTTTTCTTTCTTTCTTTTTTCTTTTTTTCTGAGATAGGGTCTTGCGCTGTTGCCAGGCTGGAGTGTAGTGGCGTGATCTCAGCTCTACAACCTCCACCTCCTGTGTTCAAGCAATTCTCCTGCCTCAGCCTCCCGAGTAGCTGGGACTACAGGCATGCGCCTGGCTAATTTTTGTATTTTTAGTAGAGACGGGGTTTCACCATGTTGGCCAGGACGGTCTTGATCTCTTGACCTTGTGATCTGCCCACCTCGGCCTCCGAAAGTGCTGGGATTACAGGCATGAGCCACTGCGCCTGGCCTACTTTTTCAATAAGAGAAACTATTTTATTTTCAAATGAGAAGGGTGAAATAAATAAAGGCTCCTATTATGACCATGAATGAAGGTGGCTGTCTGAAGATGGTGGAATTGTGTACGATTGTCATTTCCTTTGTGCAGTGAGGCATCTGACTCATAACACAAAAACATGCTGTTTCTGTAATCAGAAAAATAAGTACTTAAATGGCATCTTCAGACAGCATAAGAAGGGTTTTACTCTCTTGGGGTGATCAGAGAGAACCTCAAAGAGGATGGAGGAGGAGAAGGATGCTGCATTTTTCCTTCGTTGTATGAACATAAACATAGGTCATTCAAAATGTCTCTCCATAAGTAAGAATCAGTGATTAGGAAGTAAGGAGACACAACAAAGGAAATGAAAAGCAAAAGGATATTTACAAGTTTCCTTTAACCAACTTTCCTTCCTTCCTTCCTTCCTTCCTTCCTTCCCTTCTTTCCTTCCTTCCTTCCTTCCTTCCCTTCTTTCCTTCCTTCCTTCCTTCCTTCCTTCCTTCCTTCCTTCCTTCCCTTCCATTGCCACTCCACCGGGCCAAGAGACCAAGACTCCATCCTCAAAAAAAAGAAAGACAAGACAAACACACAAGACAGACAAGACAAGAAAAGAAAGAAAGAAAGAGAAAGGCGAAGGAAGGAAAGGAAGGAGGGAAAAAGAAAGAAAGAAAAAGGAAGAAGAGGAAGAAAGAGAAAAGAAAGAAAGAAAGAAAGAAAGAAAGAAAGAAAGAAAGAAGAAAGAGAAAGAAAGAAAGGACGAAGGAAGGGGAAGGAAGAAGGACCGCAACGAAGAAGGAAA